GAACATTTGTTGTCCCGCTCCAAGTCTGTCTTCATTACCGGACTGAAAGATGTCTGTTTCCTGACTGTAACGAGCTTTCTCAGCAGAAAGGTTTGACAGAATTTCTGTCGGAAAAACGTGCACGATGGATAATCGTTGCTTGTTAACTTACGAGGCGCCAGACTTGACATCTTGTGGTCTGCAGTAAAATTTTGTCTGCAGCTTTAAAGTCTCAAAGGTCAAATAAGGTAAATTTGTCGGTCCAGTTCACCTTATTTTGGAAAGTTAGCTACTTAAAATTAAGAATGGAACAGAAACTGAAAAGGAACTGTAAAATCAAAGAGGATGTGCTTACCTAAGGGCAAGTGGCTTTTGGTGATGATTTTTGGTTCACTGTTTTAGTGTTTATTGTAGAGCAAATCACGTTGAAGAAACGCATTTGGAACGATTTTTTTTACAGTTGTCAGTAGGAAATCATGTTGAAGAAACGCATTTAGAACTGTTTTTTTAACAGTTTTCAATAGAAAATGACCTTAAAGATTGACTGCTGACATTTAGACTACCATAATTTGTACAGGTATACCGAGTCACTAAAGTTTGACAATCTAGAGAATCACTACTATCACTACCGTTCGAACATCGGCGCTGAATTCGGCAACTCGTAACGTCCAGTGGAAATGTCTGTAATTTCGAGCTCGTACAACACTCGGAAAGCGAATTTCATCGAGAGTCCATCGCGTTTTACTATGTGCACATGGGCATTAGCGCCAGATTTACGAGGGGAGTCCGAGTTAACCTTAATAGAGCCCTGATGACATTTGGCGAAACGATGGTCACACTATGTGAGCAATTCATCCCATAAAGTACTGCTTCCGCCCGGCAGTAACTCAGCAACCGGTCGTCCATCGGACTGGCAGAAGTGCCGTTCCCTCTCTACAGGGATTGCGACCAGGCAAAACTGATTACGATTGCAGCTCAGCGCAGCCATATTGAAGGTATTATCTAAATTCAGACGTTCGCCAAAGGTCAAACACGATTTGGGAGCTTTTACAAACATGCACACTGTATACAGCGCGTTTGAAACATTTCATGCAAGGAACTGAAAACACATTGTGATTGGGTAAAGAAAGATTGCTTTGAGGCAACAGTATTACCAATTCTGAACAGCTTTTGCTAACCGTTACAGATTATCGAACTGATTCCTGGTCTACAAAATGCAACTCGTTGTACTTATATTTTATTGGCCAGAATTTTAAAGCTCAAAATGAGGAGATTTGGAACCCCATCGCCAGAGCACGGGACAATCAGACTGGACCATCTGCTGCTGGTTATTATGACCAATCTGACGATTTCAAGCAGCGCAGCGGGTTTTACAAGTTTGTTTTGACGTAACCTGAGGAAACTTACTCTCCAAGCAGAGGTTTGGGTTTTGGGGGTATTTTTTTTAGTGTGTTTTTAGGCTTTTTTTTCGGGGTTTCTCTTTTGCACTGAATTTTTTTTCCCACCAAAAGTTGGGTTTGGTGGGAAAAAAATTCAGTGCAAAAGAGAAACCTCCCCCAAAAAAGCCTAAAAACACACTAAAAATACCCCCAAAACCCAAACCTCTGCTTGGAGAGTAGGCAGAGCGGAGGAACAGAGCGGAGACACAGCGTTCACGGGTGGATTCCAGGCTAATATCCGAGCGTATAAGATCTTTTATTTTGAAAGGAAAAACATTTAAAACGTATAAAGAGCAACATTTTAATTACAAATGTGCGGCAGCATCGCAAAAAGTAGTAAGGAAACTATTGAAAAAAGACAGCACAAACTCGGTTTCGAACCCGGGTCAAAAGCCTAAGAACGTGTCAGATATAACTTTCGGTCTACAAGGTTCCTGCTAGACACGTTGAAAACTGCAGACCAAATAACCGTACTGACGATCAAATCCAACCACCAGCAGGTTTTCTCTAAACTGCACACACATCGATTTTCGGACTTAGGCGAATTTACCCAGCAATCCTTG